AGGGGTGGGAAGGGTGGGCCGTTTCGTTGGCCCCTTCACGCGGGTGAATCGAACCGAAGTTCGCGGGAGACAAAGAGTCTCGGTAAGATGGATGGTAAAATAACGGGCACGTACTCCGGGGTTTGGAAGGTAAATGCGGGGAGGAATCGTACTGGTGTCGCTACGACGGTACAGCCGACCCAGGTGACATCGTCAAAGGGGCGACACCAACGAATGAATTTTACTCGAAGCACGTTTAGAAATCATTTATTTACAATTTAATTCTCACTTGTCGATGAGGTAAGAACCTAATACAATAAGATTTTTTTATTCCGTTACACATTTTCTTAACAACGTCATCTAACCAGTCGTTTTAGCGTTGAATTTGAAGTAATCCTCCGTTATGACCCTTTTACACGTTACATGTTTCGTGCAGATTAGATGTACAGAAAGCTTGTAGTGCAGACTGCCCCATTTCTGTATGAAAACTTTTGAGCATGATCGTTTTTTTCAACGTATAGCTTGACACTAGCGCCACCAGCAGCAGAATTGTCCAGTAATGGAGTTGGTTTACGGCGAAAATCGCCATCCTTTTCCATTTTGTGGATGAGTTAGGTGCTATTTATTGGATTTTGTGGATTAGTGTGGCAGATTCGGATTCTCGGATTTTGTAGTGTGTTTATTTTACTGCCTCTTACAAAAGTGTGGTTACTGAATCTAATTTCTGTAGCCAAGACGCCCTTCACTTAGTTTTCTCCGCGCTCCCGCAAATTTCCTCGCAAGCAAAAACTTGCTTGCAGTGACGATGACGGAGGGAATTTTTTCTCCCCATGTTTCATTAATACTTAAAATAGTGGTACTACATGAGCACACACTTTCTCGCATTATTTCTAAATTTGCAATTTTTGAAACGAGGCCAACGAAAATTAAACATGGGCTTTAAAGGTTCCGTGTTCTATTCATGGAAAAAATTAAAGAAAAGATTTGAAGAATATTTTAAGAAAATATGTTATATAAATTGCATTAATTTCACAAGTCACGAAAATACTACTCTTTAAAAAAATATATCACCTTTTTTGAAGAGCCTTTTTTTTAGAACATATTTTGTTTAAGGAACATTTTTCTATCTTTTGTAGTTTTAAAATGTTAAAAATGTTGCAGTTTTCGAAAATACAGAGAGTTCACTGGAAATGAGACTAGCACCATTTTCTTAGCCGTTTTTGATACATAGGAGGAGAAAATGCAAAGAAACAAATTGGGGAAAAAGTTGGAAAAATGTTTACAAAATTATAAAGTGCCTATATTCCCTGCACAATTACGCAAAAACACATACATTCGAAAAATTGTACATCTTATTTCAATATCGGTCTCTAACGACCAGATTTCTTTCAGGAAAAAACTATCTTCAAAACTATAGTTGTAGAAACACACAGAACAACTGAACTTTTGCAATTTTCGAGATATCAGGGATTTTAACGAAAATGAGACCTATATTATTCTATAAGGAGCCTTTAATTTACCCGCGGACAAAGTTTAATAAAAAAATGGTGCCATTTGTTACAAATTTTTGAAAATGTTCAGGCTTCACGTAAAATGCCTTCAAGTATCAAAATATAGTTTTCAAACTCAGAAGGCTACGAGTTCATTTAAATCGATCAGGAAATATCAATTTTGGAGAAATTCGGTTGAACGATTTACGCGCTATCGTTGACCACACGAACCACGAAAGAACGGACAGACAGATGGACGGACAGACGGACGGATGGACGGGCGGGCGGAGGGACGAAGAGACGGACATTCAAACACAAACAGAAGGTTTTGCCGCCACTCGATTTTTCGGTATCAAGGACCCACACAACACGGATTCTGTCTACACAACTTGCTAGAGGAAGTAATTTACAAAATATAGAAACAAGATTGATCCACTTTTTCGTTACCAATGCCGGACAATAAGAGTTTTTTGCCAAAAATTTGCCATTTTCTGACGGACGAATACAATTCGGTGCCTTCTTACGAAATAAGGATGAGAAAGTACAAAAAAGTATTAATAGAGTGGCTTAGAACGTAAGTGCTCTTATAATGTGGCGAATGAGTATACTACGACAGCGACTAATTTGGTTGCCGGCACTGCCCCTGGCGGCGTCTCATGGTACCTCAACGAAAACGTGCAGAAAAGTAAACACGACGTCTGGCTGGTGTATTTCTAGTTTGGGATCTTTAAGTTTCTGTACAGTTTCTGTATGAGAATCTCCACGAAAACAGAGCCGAGTAGAAAGGCCTTTAATCTAGTCAGTTATTGTTAGCCCTAACCAATCATTGTCTTCTATTCATTTAGCCGGGGACTCGGCTAAACCTCTGTGGCTTCACAGAGTAGGTTTAAGCAATTCGGCTACCGTCGCCGGTAGTTGGGTGGGGAGGAGTTGTAATTGTCATTCTGGTGTGGAGGGAGATGTAATTGCTGCATACTACGCATTTTATCACGTTGCGCTATAGCTACATGCGATTAACATTAACCTACATCGATTGAGATAAAATAAATACCATCCCCAATAGTTTAAATATAACTTAATTTTAAACGATTATCTACACATGTTTCGGAGGGAAAAAGTCTTATCAATGGCACTAAAAGGAGGTAAATAAGTAAATCATATATAAATATTATATGGAATAAAACCACAATATTAACAATTGAATACATAAATGGAAATTAAATGTGGAGTAATTAGATACTTCCTGAAGCATTATGGATTAAGCATGTGGAATGATGCAATCACCTCGGCACTATCCTTTCCATGAAACTTCAAATGAAGCAGACATTTTTGGACCAATATTTATTAAAAAAGGCGTATAATTAAAAAAAGTATTAGACGTATTTTTTTAATGTTGCTGTATTTAACTGCAATGTTTTTGGTTATTTTTAATTGCTATTTTTTGAGACAATTGCTTCAAGTATTTTCCCCATAACTCTTACGGTAATGCGGTCGCTATTTCAAAATGTTGGACTGAAAATGACAATTATCATATAGCATGAGAAAAAATCACTTTAAAATGCAATGGGTTAAAATGGTGGATATTTATTTGTTAAATATAATGATTAATATAAATATAATATTTTTTAACTTTGCTTCTAACTTAAGGCATTGCATGCCAGTGCTGGTAAATAAATGCATTAATCTAAAAACATAAAAATGCGCTTTTTGTAAGTGGATACTTTTCTTTAAAAGTGGTTTGAAGATACACGTCTTTGATATTTTTGCAAAGGTCATCAAATTTACACTTACAGTACTTAGATTTTACAGTTTACAGTAGAGGTAACAGCTAGGAGGTTTAAAGTAGACATTAGAAACAGAGTAATGTTGGTATTTTAGGAGCCATGTTTTATTTTCCTTACTCAAACATTGACGAAGCTATTCGATTAAATCTAGAATTTTTGTATTACAAATTGTTCAGCTAATATGCTGCATGTATTCAGTATGTGTCACTAAAGTCAAAATTGATATTAGTTTCACTGAATACGGCGAAAAAAGTAAACTCAATATCATTAGTTTAGCAATAAGGGAGAAATAAATATTTTATCCCAAAATTGCGAAAATCTTGCAGTCGTTCTGTTCGATGACACTACACTGAGTCAAAAAACCGATATATTAAAAAAAAGTAGTTCACTTATTCTAAAACATCACCAACGTTTCTTTGAGACAGGTGGAACTCGGAATACCACATTTCAACAAAATCCGTGATGGTCGCGTCGGGTACTCCTCTAAAATTAGGTTAGTTGACATGGCCCTTTACATAGTTGGCAAGTACACTATACATAGTTAACATGATCCTATACGTAGTTGAATGACGAATAAAGGACCAACTGAGAAATGTTAGAACATTTGAAAGCTAAAAATTGCTTCCCACTCAAAGAAAACATATTTGCATTAGTAAACGAACTACAGATTTGATTTATTGTATTAGTAACAAAATAGAAATCCTCACCCGTGTACTACGTAAATTAAGAGAAACGTAACAAAATGAGAGAACCCTTTTATAGGCTTCCGAATAGAAAGGCTTTTTACCTTTTTAGCCAATAGAGGTTTTCGGTCTGCTGCTAGTAGACAGCAGCAAACATGTCAACTAGGAGTCAAACAAGCCTAGAAACAGACCGGCGTCATAGACAGTAGTCGTTATTCTTCATGACGCTCCGCAAATCACGTAGATGAAGCAGCTCGAGACATCCAGGGTCCCTAGTTAGGTGACCGTCAGGGAACCCTAGACCGATACGGATAAATGACAATGGAATTATCAAAATATGACAACGTACAATGAGAATTTCCTCCACGTAAATGATTTAGGACTACGTTCAGCGAGTTTTCCGTGTTCGATCTCGAATAAAATGCGTGCAAAGCCCAGTTACATCTAAAGAACAGGCTAACAGAAATATTTCATATACCATCGGCTGATATACACAATATGTTCCTGTTTTTCGTTCGACTTCCTGTAATATTTCTCTCGGATTCGCACATAACGATTCGAAAGGAAGTCAATGTCCTGGCAGTCCCCGTCAATTTCGTTTTTCTACGTCAACGTGACAGCATGCATGACAATCTCCTAATGCACGGGAGGTAGAGAGAAAACAGCTAAAATTGTCCGTGTGACGTTCAGTGACAACGAAGAAGGCAGACTCTCATCAACATCAAGTTGAACGTCAGTCGGAACGGCGATGTCATAAACGTCGCCTTTGACAGCGACCAGTGGAAATATTGCATCAGAGAGAAAAACTCCCAGCAACCCGACCTTTCTGCTGATACTTTTATTTAATATTAGATTGCTGCATGTTTGATATTTTTAATGTCACAGTCCCATAGATGCAACAATTAATCAGGCAATATTGATTATACATGTAACTCATATTTTCCTTAACCATAAACAAGCGTGTATAAAGTAATTTATAAGATAGAATACGTTTTTAAATTGGTTGTCACTATTATTATATTATTTTTATTATTATTATTATTATTATTATTATTATTATTATTATTATTATTATTATTTAGTAATATTTTTCAGTTCATTTTAATTTGGAACAACCACAATATATACATCAAGAATTTATATTACAATTTTGTTCTATGAAATTGTCCCAAATTAGGTAGGGACTGAAAAATATTGAAAAACATAAAAATAATTTATAGAATATCCGTGAAAAAATTATCGTTCAATATTCAAATAAAACTAGTGATTTTACAACAGCAAGTTATTTCTGACATTATTTTAAACAGTTATATAATATTATAATACTTGATGAATCCACAAAAGTGTTTCCAAAAAGCACACAATTTTTGCCCACATTGGAATTCAATCTCAAGTACTTCAATTTAGCGATCAATTCACATAACCATTCCAACAGGAATAGTCTGCATTGCTGCCTTCCAGACGCTTAAAAAAACAGTTAAACTTTTGCAATTTTCAAAAATTATTAAGTTTTAATGAAAATCGGACGAGTTCGAAGAAAAAAAAAAGAAAAAACCTGGCGGATTTGAGAAAATTTTAATTATTTTTTGAAAGTTGATAAAATTTTACTGAAAATAGCACTACAACTACACTTTAAAAACTT